ATTAAATATAAAACAGAATATTGCACGGGGTATTACATAGCGATTGCTCATTAGTTATTGCACCAGTTATTACTATTATGGTTCTGTATTGTAAAGTCTGATGGCAGCAGGGATGAATGACCTGCGGTAGCGCTTCTTTTTACAAACAGGATGTATAAGTCTTTCCCTAAAGGAGCTGCTCCGCTCCTCTACAGCCTGGTAATGGGGTTGCAAGGTGTTATCCATAAAGGACGTAAGCTTGGACAGCACCCTCCTCAGCCACTATCTCCACTGAGTCCAGAGCGCAGCCTAGGACAGAAGTGGCCTTTTTCACCAGTTTGTTCAGTCTCTTTCTGTCCTGCTCTGCACTACCATGGGCCCATTAGACAACAGTGTAGAGGAGGGCTTAGGCCACCACAGAGTTGGCCAAGGTTTTAAGCTTGGGCCCTGCTCAGTCCAAAGGCCTCCTGAGGAGGCGGAGAAAGCTCTGGCCCTTCTTGTACAGGGCATCAGTGTTATGAGTCCAGTCCAGTTTACTATTTTTGTGAACACCCAAGTATTTGAAACTCTCCACAGTTGTATGTTGAAGTATCAGTAGTTTGTATCCAATGATTAAATGCAACAGTTTTGTTTTTCAGGAATATATAAGAATTATGTTCTAATTTGTAGATACCGATCAGTAGTCACCGTATTTTATTTTGACAAACCGGGTTTCTTGACATTCTTCATATTCATGCTATTGTTGTGAACCAAGAATTAATATGAATGGTTCAAATCTTTCAATTCCAAATGACATTTTTTGATCAAAATGTAAGCTGCCTAATTTAGGTAAATAAGAACGAGGGGTGTAAGAGCAACCAGTCATTAAGGCTTAACATTAAAGAAATGAATAGTCACTTCTGTTCTTTATTTTATCTTATTTGGGATGTTACATTTTGAAGTCCACTAACTGAATGATACAGTATGAAATCTGATTGTTTCTATGTCCATAAAAGTTAAATATCAGTGTGAAGTTGAGAGAAACTGGGGTGCAGTTAACAACTCTGGGGATATAAATATATATCCTGGTGAATGCCTGCTGTCCTGCTTTTTCCTTCAACTCAGCCTAGAACCACAGTCAGAATCAGGTAAAAAAAACAAAACAATAAAATCATCTTATACAGGATAAGTACTGTATCTGCAACCTCAGACACTTAATATGTGTAAATGTGTTTTCATTTTGTTTTCAAAAAGAAATCTGCATGTGAAAGTGTAGCTATGTGAAGAAAATTCATAAAAGTTAGACTACATTGGTTTGTCATTTATAAATTGTTGAATGTACAATGCATTTTTACAAAGTTAGATGTTCACGGATCTTAATTTTAATAAGAAGAGCAGATAATTTCAGGCAAAATCAACCAAGGTTAGCCAGCTGATATAGAACATGTAAACTTTTAAGATCCTTCCTGGTAAAAGAATCTGAACTAGGAATCGATAGGAACTGGAATAAAAATAGAAACCCGAATCGGAATTGTTGAAATTCAAAGGATGCCCTACACTACTGCTTAGTCAAATGCCTGGTGATTGCTTCAGTTCTATGAAACCCTTATGCACTTCTCAGCATCCTATCATTTACATAGGAAAAAAGGACTGTAGCTGCAGACTTCCGGCCAAAACATGTTTGGTATTTGTTTACATTTATTCCTTTGCATATATTGGAAAAAAATTATCTATATGCACACAGCATTTCAAAACATTTCTTTGTATAGATATTACTTAGAAAGTTTTCAGTTTGGGAGATTCCTCATATTAATTTCCCTTGAAAGGTATATGTCAGAATCGAAAATTTTTAATTGGGATCAAATCTAAAAAGGCTAAAAGCAAAGCAGTGGGACCAAGTTAGGGGACCAATTACCTCAGACATTCAAACACTGAAACTGTGATTTCAGGTTAAGTGACCCTTCTTTTTTTCTCATAATGGGATGCTAGTAAAAATAATCAAATGAACATTGTTGGAAAGACAAGACCGGACTCATTTCTGTCATTGGTGTAACAAAAAGTTTGCCTTGCACCCATTTTTTTCCCTTTAACTTAAAATATTTACAACTTTGGGTTCATCTGTTTATTTCTGAGGTTTTTCATTTGGTCTTTTGCTTTCTCTAACAGAAGGAAGCAAAGTATTGAAATGCTGAGAGAGAAAGACAGTATTAACTAGCTTATCCTAGTGAAATACAGTAACCACTGATTAGACAGTGGTCCTACGAATTGAAGTAAAAGAAAAATCACTGGTCAAAAGGTTTTTACACTCAGTGTTTATTTATTAAACTGATATATAGCAGAAAATTCTCAAGTGTTTTTCTACACTAACTTCAGTAACAGTTTGCATGGTTTGATCTTTATAAGGCTTGCATGTCTTAAACCATGTGCAAACATTTCTGTAAGGGCAGAGTAGATCTTTGGAGAAGACACATTAATCTAGCATAGATTAATAAACATATTAGACTCTCTACCCGGAGGACAGATTCGGCTTAATCACTCTTGATACATCATCTAAAATAAACTATGAAACACACGGAAAATCTCTCTGGAGACAGAGCTAAAACAGGCTTTTAGTTGTCTGCTTGTATGAATAAGACAAAGAAAAACAGCAACTGATGGTAAATGGCCTATACTTATGCAGTATAGCTATTTTTCAAGTCAGGAGACTGGACCAAAGTGATTTATATTACATTAGGTCATTCACTCATTCATGCACACACAATGATAATGGTAAGCTACATTGTAGACACAGCTGTCTTGGGGCTCACTGACAGAAGCAACGATGCAATGATAACTGTTGCAACTGAGCATCCAGTGTATGATATCAAACTAAATAGAACTAAATAGTCTTCTCTGCTTGTGGACCGACTAGATGTTAGACTACTCTGCACAGCTGCTAACATAGCGAAATTTCACAGTTATATTGAATTACGTTACCAGCCCAGCAAACAGCCTGCAAACCCTATTTCTGTTTAAAACACAGCTAAACTTTTATTTTGGTCTGTTTCTCTTACCTCTCACTGGACATAGAGTATGGATGGTTCTCCATTCCATCAGAACGTAAAGGTAGAATGATCTATGGTTGTTTTCAACTCCTCCACCAATGACAACATGTTTTAAGCAGTTTATACCGCACAATACAGGTAAAACATGTAATAAGGGCAATGTTGTGCCTTTCAGCAACTCTAATCAAAATTACGACGCATTATGGCATCTCCCAATCTGGTGCACTGTCCCCTATATATGTATAAACCCCTAATTCTAAGCTATGCGAGTACTTTCATTTTTAAAGGTAAGTAACTATTGCCTAATAGATACGTATACGATAGTTATTAATCCAAAAAATGCCTGATTGGTTTCAGTCTGTCTTTAAAATAGTGTAATCAGTAATAATAAATAGACTAATCAGGTTTTCCTGAAATGCAGTAAAAAGATAAATTGTTGCCAAACACAATTTTTACTTAAAGCTTGTGTTTCCTGTGATAATCCTTAAAACTGAGGGGTCACAATGTTGAAAATTTGGAATTATTTCCATTGGATGACTACGAAAAAAAAGAGTAAGATATTAATGTTTAGGAGTTTAACCTTTGTTGGCCATGTGCCTTCATTTCCAGGTGGAAGCGAAATGACTCCTTCATCCTGCCTGTCCAGGGTTCACGTTACTCTCTCATGGGTGGAAACTTACACATCAGCAATCTGAATAAAGAGGAAGATGTTGGCATCTATCAGTGCCTGGCATCAAACTCCTTTGGCACAATCATCAGCAGAGAGGCCAGTCTTCATGTTGCTTGTAAGTTACCTTTATACTTTTAAGCATTTCTCATGATTTTGTTCATCAGTGTCTGTGTATACATCTTTGTCAATCAACAGTTCCTTTGGGAGTTTAGATTTAAGCTTTGTCAAATTAGCTTAGACATAAAGAATTGTTCAAAAATGTCAACATCTTTCATTAAGTTTGCTTTTTTTGTTGCCACATTTTCGAGTTCATCTCTATTATTGTTAATTCTTTAAAAAGTATTTTGATCAGTTTCAGATAATGTTATAAGATTACAAGTTCAGGTAGGATTATAATGGTACTGCTTAAAAAAATGTTTTTATTTTCCTTATTAATATTTTCACTTTTGTTTATTTGGCTTCAAACATATTTTTTTTTTTACTCAATTCAATATTTGCTTGTATGAAAATGCTTAAAATGAACTAAATCACCAGAGGTTTGAAATCTTAGCAGGAGTGTCTTGGATTTGAAGTTGATGTTTTACAGCTTTAGCCTAATATTTAACAAAAAACCCCAAAAAACATCACTTATAATATATTGCTGCAATATAACATTACAGGAGAAATGAATGAGCAAGCTCATGTTTATCTCATCTACAGGTTTAGAATTTGTAGTTTCCAGTGTCCACTGCTCTGTTAAGTATTAACTTATACAAAAGAGCATTTTGTAGTTCCACATTAACATGTTTTTTTGGGAACACTAATAGAGAAACATCTGCTAAGCCTAAACATTGGTGCTGGCTTCTGGATAGGGAATCTTGCATTAGTAAAAACATCTCCAGCTCCACCACACCTAAACCTATCGCTTCTTAAGTTTTTGTGTGCAGTTCAATGTGGTTCACACTGCTAACTTTGTATCCATAAGTAAACCTGATCAGAAAATATCATAATCATCAGGGGTGGACAGGGAATACAGTGCAGGCTAGAAACTTTATGACACTCAGGCCATATGTGATTGACGCAAACCTCAAAGGCTGACTTAATTTTAGTTCACCTTGAAAATACTCTGTTTGCGCTCTTGAACTGAATACTACAAACAAAAAAAAATGTTTCTATTGTGGTTTAGGGCAAACAAAATCACAAAATGGCTTCTAATACCATATTTTCATGACTATAAGGTGCATATAAACGCCTTTTTTTCCCCTCAAAATTTGCGGCGCGCCCTATAGTGCGGTGCGCCCTATGTGTGTTGTTACTGCGGACGTTGTTGAGACCACCATGAGAACGTTAAATGGGGAAGTGTGCTCTACTTAATAAAATTAACATCTTAAGGCTGATTTATACCTTGAAACTAAGTCGTCTGCGTAGGTGTCGCAGTGAACAAAAAGCCGTCCCTGCCCCCTCCGTAGACACTCTGCTGTTTTGTTTTTATGACCGAAACTGCGGAAAACAACTTGTGAAGTTGGACCAGCTAGAAGAGCGAGGTGTGCGAGAATGCTGGGACCCTTTTACCAAGTGGATCCCCGCTATTTTTCACCCTCATATCCCTCAGCTGTCGGACAAACTGTCCCCCTTTTCTCACTGCCTCGGCTATAACTAGACCCACAGCATATAGCGCGGACCACGCTTTGATACTGGGCATAAATCAAAAATGTCTGCGTCAAGCTCACTGCGACACACTGCTGCTGAGTATTACCAGCCCTTAAATAATCTATTTTTGTCATTTTAGTTGTATACAGATCATGATAACTGAAGTATAACTTATTTTCTTAGCATAGCCTGAAAGAATATCTAGAAACTGGTTCCTCTGATTCAAAGTGTCTAAAAAGACCAGAAGCCAGAATATCATTAGCAATGCTGCCATCAAGCACCATCAACTGTTCTTTTTTCTGAGATCAGGAGCGAAACTGTGTCTGTGGAACATGTATGGTTCCACCACAGCTTCACCCTTATGCTATGCAACTGTTGGACTCAAATGAACAACCCCGGGCCCTGCCTCCCACATTTTGAGTCATCCTTTATCGCTTGGACTATGTTGGGTACTGATCCTGTCCCAGGGCCTGACTCCCCTGGCTATTTTTAATTTTCAACCAAATTTACTTAATGAAATACATGGCATGTTTACAACTCTTACTATTTCTGACATCTTTTGCTTTTTCACTCAAATCATTTTCCACTTAAGGATATTTTTTGCTGCCAATATGTTAGGTTTGTTAAATTTACTGCAAGCTGCTGTTTTTTTTTTTTTCGTTCATGCTTTCCCTGGGGCCTTTGCAACAGAATCTCAGCCAGATACAGTATATGATTGGTGATTCCCACCTAAATGGCAATAAGTCTAAGTGTTATGCTCTCAAACTGAACCGGAAGGTTCCTGCTCTAACTCCTTACTGCTGCTGCCCACCACATCCCTGAAAGCTGGAGCTCTTGCAGCGGTAGTGCTGGTCACAGTACAAACCCTGTTTTATTTCATGTTTGTAAAAAAAAAAAAGAAATAATAAGAAAACACTTAGAATTTCTCACCAACTCAAATTAACTGACACTTTAATGCATTGGCAATGTTCAAATGACAACAATTATGTTCTTCATCTTGACAGGATATTACCAGGCTAAAAAAGGTTGCATAAAATACCATTTAAAAAGCTCAATTAAATGTATTCATCCAAAAGGTAAATTAAATGGTGAAGCAACTCGTTTGTGTTTTTGCAAAGAATTGTTGGTGTTGATAGCTGTAGGCAGGAAGCACCTTTGGTATCGGTCAGTCTTCCACCAGATCTGGAGAAGCCGTTGGCTGAAGACACTCTGCTGGTGTTCAACAGTCTTCAGAAGAGGAGGATCACTGTTGTCAAAAATATTCTTCATTTTAAGAAGAATTATTCTTTATGAAATGATCTCCAAATGTTCTAGAGGGGTTCTTAGATATGCAGCATCATGCTGCAAACAATAAAGGACCTAAACTTCCTTAGGAAGTACACTCTGCTGTGTTCTTTCTTGTAGACTGCTTCACAGTTCAGCTCCAGTTGACTTTGTTGTCCAGGTAAAAACCAACCTTTCTATATTCCTCCATCACCCCCACTTGTCCAATGATGTTTATAGCATTTAACTTCTTGTTGTTTCTTCTGAAATCTCCAATCATCTCCCTTGTTTGGTACACATTCTGGATCAGATGATTGTTGCCACAATGGGCTCCACCAGCTCCCTGTACTCAGCTTCTTGTCCACCTCTGATGCACCCAACAAATTCAGAGTCATCCGAGTATTTCTGCAGATGACAGGACACTGTCTTATAAAAGAAGAAAATTTTCCTCAATACTCATTAAATGTTTTAGTGGAGTTTATGAAGCATACCCAAAATCCTTACATGTTTGTTAAGTCATTTGTGGTCTCCTTAGGTTCATGAAAGTGGAACTAACCTTTATTTTCCTAAGTACGGCTACACTAGTGGTCTACAACCTTTATATAACATTTTTTTAGATCACTTTGTGGCTGGTTTGTCTCTCTCTCCCTCTGTTTTTGCTTCAAGCTGTTTATAACTCATGGCATTTACATTAAATTGTTAAATTTATTGTATATTTTTTATGTATTTAGTTTTTATCTACTTAACTTTTCTTTTTAATTATTAGATTTTCTAAATAAGGTGTCCTTCTCAGAAAATGGCTTTTGTAAAGTACGTTCCAATAGCTTTCTTTTATTCTTTGCCATTTTTTTTCTCCTGTTCTACTGATTAAAAGTTTGGCAATGATTTTGTACTTTTTATTTGATGACTCTTAACTTTCCATATCCGTCCGTTGATGTAGCACAGATGCGGTCATACATCATATTTTCTAAGATCACAGTCAGTGGCATCACTTTTAGCAAGGGGAACTTTAGGCTTTCTCTCTAGCTGGAGAGTATCAAATGGCTGTCCTGATATCTCTGAACAGATGGGCCAGCTTGATTGAATTTTGATGTGTTTCTCTGCCACAGCAAACGCAGCAATGATGCTTGGCAAGAAAGCACCAGAGATATTCATCTCGTTGCTGTTTGGTGCTTCTTCGTCACAAAGCAGCTGTAAATCATCAGCATATAGTGCAGATCTGTATTCTGAGCTGCCCGTTGGCTGCTGATGATATTCACATATTCTGTAAATGTTTAAGGCCTGTCCTTAGTTGTATGTCGCTGTGATTAGTCTCCCTCATTGCCTGGCCTGACTGGAGACCTGCCCCCTTTTGTCAGCAGATGAGGACAAGCATCAGACCTGACACATCATACGTCTTATTTATTGCTCTTGGTTTGACTTAATTAAGTTTGCTGTGTGATTGAACGGATCTCGGGTCAAAGGAATAATTCATGGTGGAGCAGTCTGTTATGAGAGCCAGTATTATGTCATTTGTAACAGACTGACTCTTTGGAGCTCAGTATCCCCTTTCACACACAATGTGGTTTCATAACTCTAAGAGAGATGGACCAAGGGAAAAGCCATTAATGAAGAGAATACCAAGGATTAATGTTACTTTACCGGTAATCCTCTCACATCTGGAAGCCTAAAAATAAATGCCTTTAAACAGAGCTAATTAAACTAAATGTAGCATTACAGCTCGTACAATTTACCTTCCACAGTGCTAATCTGATAGTGTTAGATATTTAATGTAAGTCATTGATAAAAATTAAAAGTTGGTAATCTTTATTTAGTCACATCCAATAATGTGCACAATTTTTAAAAATTAAATTGCATAGACAAGCACAGCAATGGGAATCAAGATTACATTTTTAATCCTGTGACAGATGAGTGATATAACTGTTTTCATTACCATCTGTTGTGGGCTTAAACCTCTAAATATAAAGGTTGTTGGTTCTCTTGATAATACACACAGTTTACAATGGTTCTATAGACCAACTAAGAATACTGAAAGTATCTGGTTGTCAATTAAGCCTGGAGCCAGATTACATTTCTTAATCTGTTTTGAAGGCAAGACGTAACGTTGCATAACTGAATGCAGGGCCTGTTAAGTACGCTTGAAGCATGGCACAACATAGTTTTTCACAGCATATGGAGCTATTAGAGTATCACAAAGTTAAATAGTAGTTTAAATAGTTTTAT